GTTTTATCTATACATACCATATTCATACATTAATTCAGGGTAAACTATTTCATTTGCAAGATTTACAAAACCATGTTTTATTCCGTGGAATTGAAAAGCAAATACAAAATTCAATTTTACAAAAGAAAATTGTTGATTTCCAACGTAAGATTGAACAAGAAATTTATTCAGACTTGCCCAATACTTTCTGGAAAAGAAAACAATACATTGTTGATCTTTTTTATGAAAATACTTTTTTCTAAAATCTTATACCTACAAAAGTAAGACCTATACAAATAAAGCTGATTTAGAACACCATTGCAGATTTGAGATCCAAGATCTAGAGTCTAAAGGTCTAATTCAAAAATCCAGATCACCATGGTCATGTGCAACCTTATATGTGAATAAAAACTTTGAAATTGAACGAGGCACACTAAGACTTATGATCAATTAAAAACCCTTAAATTCTACTTTAAAATGGATTAGGTATCCTATTTTAAATAAAAAATATTTATTATAAAAGCTGCATTCTGTTTTTATATTTTCCAAATTTGATATGAAGTTCTAATTTTGACAAATCTAAATTGATCCCAAAAGATCACTATAAAACTGCATTCACTACTTTCCTTAGCTATGAGTGGAATGCCATGTTTTTTAGCTTGAAAAATGCACTTTCAGAATTCCAACGCATTATGAATGATATTTTTAATGCACATTCTAAATTCTGCATTATTTACATTGATGATGTACTCATTTTCTCTCATTTCATAGATCAATATTTTTAACATCTCCATATATTTTTTTCATAATGTGAAATAAAATGAATTAGTTGTTTCCGAATAAAAAATTTCTCAAACTTGTGTTCATTTCCTAAAACATTATATCTACTAAGATATTGTGACACCAATAGAGAAATCTTTATCTTTTACAAATAAATTCCCCAGTAAAATTACTGATAAAATCCAATTACAAAGGTTTCTAACACACACACACACACACGTATTAGCTATGTTATTTATTGCATAGAAACTTTAAGAAATTAAAATCAATATCAAAATACATTCTAACATTTTAAAATAAGTCTAAAACAAGTATTTCTTTAATCAAAACTTGTTTATCTTATTAATGATTTTTTTATAAAATTTAATTACAAAAAAAAAAGTGAAAAAAATTGAAGGGTTAGGCGTACATGGGCTAAACATGCATGCATGGGTTTTACTTTTTTTTTTTTCTTTAAAGGGCATTGTTTACGTCAATTTTTTTTTTTTTTTCTAACTCTTTCATACAACACATCGCTCATATGGGTATAATGCCTCGCCTGCTTAGGTAGATAACATATCATTTATTACCCTTCCTTTTCTAGTCACTTGATGTAGTTTAAGTGACCAAATAAGTCAGCATGTAAGTTTTGGGTTCAAAAAACAAAGATTTCAACCCATGTTTCTATCAATAACATAAAATAAACATCTCATGAATCATTATATACCTCAATTTTAATGACAAAACACATTCTAATTGGTCTAAAAATACAAAATCAAATCTAATTTAAAAAACTTTCCAAGATTCAAACAACTTTTTCCAAGATCATTAAAGATAAAAACCATCTTTATTAAATTTCATTTTCATAGATGAATCTATAGACACCAAAATCAAGGTTATTGGTGGTCTTATTCTAGCCTAGCCACTCAAAAGCTTTCTCTCCTATCTTTATTTGGTAACTTCCCCTCTCATCTCTTATGTTTTAAAGATTAAAACATAAAACAAATCAACATTGAGATCTAAGTAAAATTCTAAACAAGAAACATGATCAAACTTAAAATAATTAAATTAAGAGATCAAACTATAGATTTACATGCTTTGTTACAGTAAACATTGAAAAGGCTATCATTTGTTTTTTTTCTGTAAAATGTTAATTTTGATCTATTTTCTTTTGATTTTCTTCTTTCTAATAATTCAAAATTCTTTCATGCAAAATGGAGATGTCATTCAACAACAAAACAATTTTAAACACCTAGGAAATATGATAAAAGGCAATTCAAAGAGAATGAGAAAATAAAAAATTGAGGGACCAAGGAGAAGCTTGTACAATAAATAATTCCATGAATAATATTAATTTTTAGATTCTTTTAATTTTTAAATTTGGAATGAATCTTTGTTTTTCAACAACATCTAATTTACATTTTATTTATATTAAACTCGTTTTTGAATGCAAAATACTTTTTGACCTTTAATTAGGGGTGATTATTTTTTGATTTGATTCGGTTTTTACGTATAAAAATACCCAAATCAAATTATTTTTTTAAACTGAAATTGATTTTGGTTCAGTTATTTTATATTAAAAATAATATATATATACATACATACATATATATATATACATATATATATATATATATACACATACATATATATATATATATATTTAGGTTTTTTTGTATAATTTTTAATGAGTTTGATTTCAGTTTGCTCAGTTTTTTTGGGTTTAGCCTGGTTTTTTAGGTTTTTGGTTTGTTTTTTCAGTTTCAAGTTTATGAAATTGAAACTGAACCAAATTGGTTGGTTTTTAAAATATTCTAATTAGTTTAATAAGTTTTTTTAACTGTTTAGTTTTTTCAGTTATTTTTTTTATTTTTTTCAGTTTAGTTGTTTTTTTATTTTTTTTTTCTTACCTGTACCTTTAACTGATACATATACTTGAATTGATCCCCCAATTTTCAATGAGATTGAATTGAGTTCTTGATTGTAGAGTTCTTTTCCAATAGATCCTTTAGATTAAACATCTTTACCGATAAATTATTATAGTCCAATACTTTCATCTACAAACTGGATCTTGGTTTGAGTCTATGCTATGGTATGCTTTGAAGATTATGAATAATTGTATTTGATATTAATTTTTTTATTTTTAAGTTTATCATAATTCTCTGATATATTTTAAAAGTATGATTCCTCTTCTTTTTTTTTGTACTTATGTATGTCAACACAAAGCAATTTAATTTTACGATGAATTTATAAATTAAAATTTGAAATAACAAAACTCAAGTTTCAAAATTAGTAGAGAATAAAGAAAGCTTGAACTATCAAGTAAGTAAAAAAATAAATAAAAATTTAATTCAAACTCAATGAATATAAACTTGATTCAATCTAAATGAATGATTTTTATTTTTTTTACATTGAGTAATAAATTTAATATGGAGATTGTTAAACTCGATCGAAACTCAATCCAAATCTAACCCTATATCTAATTTTCTTCCTTAGTGAAGACCTTCCCATGCCAACGTCAATTGCTTAAGCATCATTTTAAAGTTGATTTCCACTTTCTCATACGATACTTAACCACCAATTATAATCAAATTCTTTTTTTTTTTTTTTGCTTTATCAAAATCGAAATGTTCACATATAAGATACTCATATAATATTAAATATTATAATGTATATATTATTGAATCATTTTCACAAAATAAATATTGAATTTAATTTAAAATTTTGAACAAACCTAGAAAGCCCCTCACTTATAGGGGTAACCCAATTCAGTCATCAACATATTTTTCATCTCAATTAAGTCCCCAATGTATCAATGGATTCTTAGTCAAATCTTTTTGTTAGTTTAGGTTAATGTAATGGTTAGGTAGTCACGAAAAAAATCATGTAATTTCTCTTTATTATATTAAAACCCATTAATTTGCTAAAAAACTAAAAATTTCCACATTACATAATAAAACATATTGTTTAAATAAATGAAATAGCTTTATATTTCTTTATAAAGTTTGGTCTATCACGTGAGTTTCATGTGATTCATAGCGAAAATCTCAGAAAATTCACTTATTGTATATGCAAAGAGAAAAATCATTTGATTTTTAAGTAATTACTTAAGCGAAAGAAGGAATTGATTAGAAAACTATATTATATTAGAGCTCTAGTTTAAAAAAAATAGATTAAAGATTAAATAACTTTTTTTAAAAAAAATAATGTGTTTACAGTAATATCCAACACACAACACTTATTTTTTAAAATAAAAAATCAAAAGGCTTAATCACCCTCTTTTAACAATACTTATTTTTTAAAATAAAAAATCAAAGGGCTAAATCATCCTCTTTTACTACTCTTTTAAGATAACTTTTATGGTTACGATTTTAAAAAAATATAGTTAGTTATGATACCCTCTTTTACTACTCCAGTATTTGTTTTTAAGATAACTTTTATGATTATGATTTTAAAAAAATATAGTTAGTTATGATTAGTTGGATTTATATATATATTTGGTAAAAATTATAGTTAAAGTTTATATATAGCAAAAAATATGTATAAAATATTTTATTTATTATATTTGGGAGTGTGGTTGTGGTTGTTTTTGTTAATATTTTTTTATTTTTAAAAAATTATTTTTGATATCAACATATCAAAATGATTTGAAAATACCAAAAAAAATATTAATTTTAAGCTGATAAAAAAATAAAAAATACTTTTTAAAAAAATACTTTTATCAAGCTGATAAAAAAATAAAAAATAATTTTTTAAAAAATACTTTTAAAATTAAAAAATAAATAAGATTTTACAAAACTCAATTCAAAAAATATAAAAATTACTTTACAAAAATAACGTTTTAAACTTAATTTTTTAATAAGTCCCTGATATAAAACATTGTTTAATATATTACTAAATACCTTATTATATTTGTTTTACAACAAATATAAAAACAAAGGCAGCCTACCTACACCGATAGATCACTACTAATGGTACCACCTATTCCACCTCCACCTCCTCATTATCTCCTTTACATATCTCTGTCATAAACACTACAAGCATCTTTTGTGTGTATTTGAAAACACCGTTAAAATTTTAATTTTTTTTATTTAAAATTATTTTTTTATTTTTAAATCATTTTAATATATTAATATAAACAATAAATAAAAATTATTTTAAAAAATAATCCGTTTCATCTCAACAGCATCCTAAGCGACCATTCCTACTTATGTCTCGTATGATCAGGTCCGTGTGTACTTTTTTTTAGGCCTTCCTGATGACATCAAGCCCCACGAAATCTACTCTTTATTCCACGAGTTCCCTGGCTACGAATCTTCTCATCTCCGTAGCTCCTCCCAAAATTCACATGACTAAATGCTTTTGCCACGTTTGCAGACCAGCCGTCCGCCGTTGCAGCCATGCATGCACTGAATGCAAGATCATCTTGCCCTGATCCTGTAAAATGCCCTGCATTGCTGTAGTGTTTATTTTACATGAAACTTAAGTTCTGTCCAAGCTAACATTATATATTGCTGCTGTGGTTTGAGGCAATGTTAATTTCATTTTTCAATTTGAAGTCTGAGAAAAATTCATATGCTGAAGTGACTGGTATCAGGTTACTGGGATATTTTTATGCATCAGGGTCATATTTAGATTAATTGCAATGCTGCGTGTGTTAGACACGCCACCAATAACTGAAAACTCTTGGCTCAGAACCTTTGTTGCAGGGGATGGTTTTTGATCTCGAAAGGGGATCAACCCTCTATATTGATCCTGCAAAATCTAATGCTAGATCTTCCAAAATTTAATGCTTGCATTAAATTTCCATGTAACTGACTTTTCTTCTTATTTCAACACTCGAAATCTTATATGTATGTTACTTGATTTTGAGGATCAGCGATGAATGGTCTGGTTTGGATAAGAAGGCTGGAGGGTCCTCTGGATTCTTGATGGCTCTCCTGATTCAGGTAAGACCACTGTCTAAAATTGCTTATGTCAGCTACAACACTTTTTTCTGTGTTTATGTTTTGGACTGAGTACTCACGGTTATTTGCCTTTTGGTTTCCTTGGAATACAAATCAATTACTTAATCACATGGAGGGCACATTCTTCTTAAAGCCCACATTGCACATGTTTTGCACTCTTGGACACTAGGAGGTTTTGGCAGCGTTCACTTGCCCGGAATGACTATTTCTGCTTTCAACACGATTGGTATTCCCATCTGCACAAAGGTCATTTGCACTTCTTGAGTACATCTTTATGATAGAGCTAGAAATGAGTCAAAAGCTGCAAAACTGGTTAAATTACCTCACTGCTTTTGTTTTTATGCAAATATCAGTCCCATGAGTTCTGCACCTTTCTTTTCTATCCCAAGTTTTATCTCCTCGAAATAGAATTGCTATCATGTTCTTATTGTTTGAGAAATTGTTCATTTCTATATCTGGATTTTTTGTAATTCTCTTGTGGAACTAAAATTGTTCATTTTAGTTCATGGGATAAGTTGTACTTGTAAGTGTTGTAGAATGCTGGAATATTTACCATAGAGAAACATGACATGCAAATGTACTTTAGAGTAGATTGTACTCCTGTTAGAGTTCTTGCACATCCTTTATGTCATTATGGGCCCATTTATTGTTGGATTGTTTTCTAATCAAAATAACAGGATTTAATCTGTACAAAAGCATTTAGTCTCTGATGATGATAAACTAATGTTTCCTACATTGACAGAAGCATTACTCATTCTAGGTGTAATATTCTGCTGATTCTTTTTCTAAAAAAAAAAGAATAAGTAAAAATACACGATGATAAGTAACTTGAAGAATAATAATACTTCTAACTATATAAATGTCTGGATTAGTTTATATATATTTTAACTAATTTTTTGATATTTTAAAGTTAATAATTATATATATTTTTAATTATCCTAAGGTTTGTGAAACTCGAATTGATAATTTACATCGAATAAAATTAAGGCTTAACTGATTAAACTACTAATGAAGAACAATAATACTTGTAATGCCTTCAAGTAACCATAGAAAAGGCCTTCTTTTGAAGAAGGAAAGTGGAATATTTGAATGAATTTCCCTGTAACCTGTAACTATCTATACAGGTTTGGCTTCAAGGTAACGAACCAATCGTCTCGTTATTCATCCTTCTCGTAATGAAATCTTGCTCTATCTTGCTTAGGTTTTGGATTGTTTGCTTCCTCCTTGGCATTTGAACAAGTAGTATCTTTAGTATGCTGTACTTCTGAACTTGATTTCACAATTTCTCCCCCACGGAAGCTCAAATTAGTTGGGGATATCAATATACTGTTTTATTTTATCTCGGGTATATAAATTTTATTTTCTTGAAAGGAAAGTAAATTATAAAAATAACTAATAAAATATCAATAATTATCTCTGGAAACCAAGTCTTCTGCAGTAAAGTTTAACGTTTTGCTATATTTCTCGTATCCTATTCAAATTCTTTATAACCTGACAACATGAAATATGGAGCATCACCATTGAATCATATTCTCCTTTTAATTTAAATTTTATTTTTTATGTGGGGGCAGGGGATGTGCGCAAAAACCTAAGCAGACAACGGATGCATGCACCATGCTATCATCACCAGTGAAGGGCGTTGAGCTGAGCAGCATTGAATTGTCATGGCAATCACCACCGAAATTTTGACTTTTTTCGAGCTCAATAATTGAGCCGGCTGCAGCATTTACATCACAATCCAGATATAGGGACATGTTCTTTCTTGGTGGCGTTGATACCAAGACTTTTATGCTAACTGATCTGTTGACTTCTTCTAGTCAGAAACAGGCAGGCAGGCACGCGACCTCGTATTGGTACCAGGCTTAGCCAAGAAAGTAAATTTTTCCATGCGCTCTCATCATCAGGTGCATTGCTGATAAATGTATTTTTTGACTACTACTAGAGCAAATAAATACCTTACACGTAACCAATGATTTCCTGGAAGCCAAAAGCTATGACCCTTGAAAACATCGATTCAGGCACCCATATGTATTTCCACACGTCATTGCATGCCACAAGAATTATTGGAAATGGCTCCCCCGAAGTTTTGATTGCCGGACACTTTCTTTGATATTCTAGGACTTTTTTTAATAAATTTATTCCAAATAAAAATATTTTATATGCTACACAATACAAATTTTTAGGATATTAAATATTGATATTGAAAATATAGTAATAATAGAATTATTGATGATATTGATAATAGTCAATGATAATAATGAAGAAAGTATTGTGGTATAGTAATATTTTAAAAGTAATATAAAATCATTATAAAGTTACATCTAATAATTTAAGCTTATAAATTAGAATAATTTTTTAATATAATATTTAATTTTAATGATCAAAATAATTATGAATTCGAGTTTTAACTCTTTCATTGTTTTGTAATGAAAATCAATAAAATTAAGAATAAGTAATGAAATTATGAACACTTTATATTGGATTTGATTTTCCACAATCATGTACTAAAAAAATAATCGAGCTTGATCACTAGCTGGTGAATTGATCAAGCTCACTAGTTGGTGAATTGACAAGGTGACTTCCACTCACTTGCAAAAACAAGTTATTTATCAAAATAAAGGATTCCCCGATAGTTAAATTAGTAAATGTAAGAAAATAAGAGTATGCTGAGTAGAAGAATAAAGTGTAGAGTAGAAGAAAACTTAACGGTGATAGGAGCAGGATAAAAGGAAGAGCAATGTAAGTCTTCAATATACCATTTTTTTTTTCATCCTTTCTCTTCTCTTTGTCTCTCTCCTATCTTTAAAAATACCTTGCTTTTGCTAGTTTCTCCTGCTTTTTTAGGTTATTTTTGGAACATGCCATTTTTTTTCATTTTTTTTTCTCGTTACCTAGTGCATTTCAGCTATATATGTTATACTTCCATGACTGATAATTTAAGAACTCCAAAACATGAAAAAGTAATTGACCTCCCTACCGTAGGTACTCCAGCTCCTCCAGATCTCCACTAACTTAAGTAAGACATGAAAAAGTAATTGACCTCCCCACCGTAGGCAGTGCTCCTCCAGATCTCCACTAACTTAAGTAAACGTTCTTAATGATGTTGTTCTAGATATAAAACAATAACTTCACACTCTTTTACTTTCTCAATAAGAAACATAACACCTACCTTCATTGTATGCACCACTAAATGTACAAAGATAACTCTAATTTTCTTAAGGAATATGATATAATGACATGCAAGCAAGTAGATACGAGACACACTCATATTCCAACTTTTTAAAGGAAATACCTCCGTATAAAGAGTGTTCCCATACTGGAGGCTCTTTGAGTGGCCACCATCATCAATCTCTTTTTTAGTCTCATTCTCATACTCTTTATTGAAAATAACCTTGACACAAGATGAGATTAGTAACTTTACAAGTTCTTAAGAATGGACACCTTATACACCAAGTGAAGGATTCTCTACTTTGTCATTGAATGCTACATATTTATCTCTCTATAGATTGCAACTTTATAAAGCAACTTAACAACTATAATGGCGTTATACAACTAAGAAAGTATATGCAAAATGTGCAAAGCATGCTAGAGTTTGTAACCCAAGACATCGATGTTATGCAAATAATTCTCATGACAACATTACATGGATATACTTAGGTGTGATATCATAACTTTGAGTTTTGCTCCATTTTTTACTTTTATTATCTTAGTGCCAAACTCATCTCATTCTTCAATATAAGCATATAACTAATAAAAGTACAACTAGACTTTTTTCCATCACATAACGAGAAGATGAGAGAACTCAAACATATCTTAATAGGTTTAGCAAGAAAATGATCTACATGAAAATTCTACTTTAAGCTATTACCCCCGAAGCCATAATTAGTGAAGTCTATAACTATTATTTATAGGAACGATTATACACTCTCCTCGATCGAACTATCCTCAAAGTTAAACATGCATGAAAAGTCATATTCTAATAGATTAAATGAACATGACTAGACAAAAATGCCTTCATTTATACTAATAAAGAGAAAAGTCTTTCAAGCATCACTAATCTCCTAACAATTATCGGGCATCTAAGAGGAATACTAATGGATCCTTTCGTGACTAATTGGTGTTTACTAGGTTCATGATCACACTTCAAACTACCTTTTTGAGATATTGGCAACCATAAAGGAAAAGGAATTCAAGTGAGCACAAGAAACCCTAACAAATCTTGTTTCTTTCACCATAATGATTACATCATAATGCTAAGAAATATTATGCCTTAAAAAAAAAGATAGAAAGATTGATTGTCTAAGGTCACCTCCAATAATTTATAAGGAAAGAAATGCAACTTTAATAAAAAAAAAATCCTAATAATTCACTACTCTATATCTAATAACATATAAAAATTATACCTATACTTGTTTAAAAAACTCTTTTAGACTATTCAACGAAAAAATCAATATTATCTCTCTAAGTAGTCTTTATATATTTTTCTCCATGATGTTGTTTATCTTCATGTATTCAATGAAAATCTTCATGTCTCCAAACAAAATCTCTATGTCTTCAAATATTGAGTTCTCAAAACATTCATCAAGGCATGTTAACAAAAGCCATGAGATAGTAATATGAAAATTTTTATTTTCCTCCAACTTCTACTACTTAAATCTTTCATAAATTCATGTTTAAAAAACTTATAAGAGGAGGAGAATTGATGATACCAAAAAACAAAAGAGTTAAACCAACTCAAATGAACTACCTTTATAGGTAATCAATCAATTGAGCTAGTTTAATTAAACTAACAAAAAATATATCAATCTATTTAAGTTAAAGTCTAAACGAACTAGAGGCAACAGGAAGAAAAATGGTAAAAAAAAAAAAGGCCTACTCAAAAAATGACCAATAAAATAGTTAAAGCTAGTAAAAATGATATGCTTTTTAAGATAAAAGAAAAATGAAAAATGAAGAAATAAAGAATGAAATGTTAAAGACACTACAACTTTGATCAACACATATGCATCATCATTAAAAAGATATTGATCAAATAAATCTAACAATATTAAAAAAAAATTACCATCGAAGTTTTGAGTGAGCTGTAAACACCGCTCAAAAGAAACGAAATATGACTAATTTTCAAGCCTATGCTACACGCACTAGCTAATTTTTCTTTTTTCTTCACTTCATTCTCTTTATTTCAATCTAAATTCAGTGTTGTCCTAGCTACACCACCCTAAATGGATTGCACTTAATAGCTTTTAGGTCATTTGAAATTGACTAACTTGTCTGTACATGACACATTAAGCCTTCTAACAATTATTTTTTATGCTTGACTCCCAATAAGTCTAGCTATCAGCACATACCACAATACAAAGTAAAAAGTTCTAAAAAGTCAATATAACACTGAACTCTCTCGAATTATGCATAAATTGTTAGTACAATGCCCATATTTTCTAGCTAATTGTTATTTTATTCTTGCACATCACTGAAAAAAATACCTACCAAACATGAGCCTCTAACATTTCTATCAAATGCACATTAGCCAACAAGTTAACTTTCTATTTTTTTTAAAAAAAGTAATTATTCTCTATCATTGCTTTCCACGAGATAAGTTGATAATCTAATTTCAATGTTCATGAACGAGAGTCACATTTACACACGACACAAAAAAGTGCGCTTGTTTTGCACATGAATATGCAGTGGCTAAAATAATAGAAACCACCATGCTTTATACCAACTATTAATAACATGAA